TTCAAATTTGGTCGGTAAAGCTGGACGACCATAACTCCTTCTCTCGCCATTAATCCAATCTCTAAATAGTACCGATATCTCCAAGCTATCCGCTGCTAATGAATATCTATGCTCTCCAATTTGAAATCTTGTTGCACTAAAAGCGCCTTCCGAAGCTACTGAAGATGCTTGAATAGCTAACACATCTCGAGCAACCGGTTGAAGTTTTGGAAATCCCTTGCCGCGATTGCTCCACCATTCTAGAAGATCAGTAGTAGGTTTTGTATTTTGATTAATATATGCATCAAAATCATTTATATCATTATGAGAAAGTTCAAGATAACAATCTATCATATCATCAAAATCATCTTCATTATATCTACACCTAGAACTTTGAGGTTCTTCATTACGTATTATATTCATTCTATTAGAATTATATAAGTCATACAATTTTCTAGCTTCAATTTTTATACTATCTTTAACTTCTTGACAACTAGGTGTTTCATCATCTTCAATACCCAAATTAAAATATATTTTATCAACCATTCGTGATGCACCTTCATCTTTGTAATGTGTGTTTAACAAACAAGCGGTTAAATAAATTTGAGGAATAGGAATAAAATATTTTTTAAAATTTTCAATCATTTTCTTTACAGATTCTTCAAATCTTGGTTTATTTTTGAATTTATAAAATTTACTAGAAATAACACAAATATTAGGTAAAACAGAGCAAATAGTTGGATAATAATGTGCAGATATTTTTTTTGTAGTTAACTAAAAAACTTTTAAGAATTCTATAAGTTCTTTTACGTCATTCCAATCATTATCATCAAGTCTATAGGTCATATTTGAATTATGAGCATTCCAAACCATTTGTAAAGGTTTCCTATATTCATAAGCGACTTGAAGCATTTCAAATAAAGAATTCCATCAGTACACACTGATTTTGGTATTTTTCTAGGTGGATGATTAAATTCACAACAACGATTTTCAAAATCTTTACGTCTAGATTTAACTTGACATTTAAAAATAAAATGACATGCAATTTTAACTTTTATGCAACCATCATTATACATTGTTATACCATCTCTAACAATCAAATTATATATGTGTGCAACACACCTAATATGAAAATCATCAATATAAACAGGGCAAAGATACATATAAACAGGGCAAAGATACAGTTTTAGTATTTCAACAACAGATGTATTATTAGAAACATTATCTAAGGTGACACTAATTATTTTATCACAAATTTCATAGTTTTGTAATACATCTATAATTGTTTGAGCTATATAACTACCGGTTTTATGCATTTCACAACATTTATAACTTAAAATTCTTTTTTGCATAATTCAATTTTCATCGATCGAATGTGCAGTAATACTGAAATAATCATTACCATTTACACTACGGCCCATATCAGAAGTAATAGCTATTTTATAATTATTATAATAAAATAAACAACGACGATATTGAAAATGTTGAGCTTGATAATCAAAGATAGCCTTTTTAATTGTATTTCTAGTAAAACCTTTAAAATGTGGATTATACACAATTTGAATATAATGAATAAAATCGAGATTTTCAGCAAAACTAAATGGCAAACCCATAACAACAATCATTTTAGCTAATTCTTCAAGATTTTTTTCTCTACTATATGACCGTTGTATACTAGAGCCAGAAACATCAGAAGGATTTAGTGTGTTTGGACCATATTAGAGCCCCCTACTCCTACAGTTTCAGGAAGGGTGGTACCATTCTTTTTAGCTTCGGCTACAGCTTTAGCATGCAAAAATTCATTTTTACAACATGACATTAAATGATTACTCAAATGTCCCGTCCAACCCTGTTTTCCTATAGTTTTATGATTCATTCTATGTTTACATTTATTACAAATAACTTGTGTTTTATCTTCATTCTGAGTCATAAATTGCCACACAATTGATTTTTTAGCACGTTCTACCTTAGGCCTAGGATGTAGGGGGGAACGGGCAGGACAACGAAAGGGAGCGGGACTAGGAGCGGGGGGGGGGGGGGAGAGGGACTGGGAGTGGGAGTAGTAGCCGTAACTGGCTCAGTTTCATCATCATCATATTCAAAATTATCAATATAATCATTAACATTATGATGTTCATCATCTTCAGGTAATTACTCATCAAAATTACCAAACCTTCGTTGTAAATGTTCATGATAAGGATCTAATCCACTATTACTATCAATATTAAAAAACAGTTTCATTAACATGCATATAATATTCCGTATTTATTCTTAATTGAGAAGATTTTCTAGTTTAAGATTTAGAAGTACTACTAGTTTTTTTTATTTTTCTTGAATTTTGAGTTCCATAAATTAGTGAACGAATCAACTATGGTTGTTTTACCCTTGTCAACATTGTTTTTACCGGAATTCATATTCAAATATAAAAATTGAGTAAATTATATATAATACGAAAATGTAATGCAAAGTTGTAAAAAATAAATAACTAAATAAGTAGAGACTAGAGACTAATTACTCACAAAATAAATAATTAAATGCAAAAAAATAAATAACTAAATAAAAAGTGAGTTGGAACGAATGTACCAAACGTCTACTTAAAAAAGTAGACCTGTATGACCGAAAGCTGAAAATTGAAAGTTGAATTTTGAAGCTCCAAAGACCAAATTCGTAATCCACCAAATCTTTCAAACTAATATTAAATTCGTAATTTAAAAGAGAATAAGAGATTAGAGACTTGAGACTTTTGAGAGTTGTTGAGAGAGTAGAAGATAATATTTTTGTGAGTGAAAAGAATGAAAGATTGGGGGTATTTATAGTTTAAAAAAAGGGATAAAAATGTAGTTTTTAGAAGTTTGGGGTATTAAAAAAAGTTTGCGGGGGTGTTTTGGGGAGTTATGGGGTGAAAGAGCTGTTGGGTGGGGCCCAATACCCGACGGCCTTCCAACGGCTATTTTTCAATTTTTAAATTTTTTTTTCTAAAAAAGGACGAACCGGACGGACCGGGATCGGAACCGGTATTTATCTGACCGGGACTAATCGGTAAAATCCGGTTTTCGTCCCGTAATCCCTCCCGGACCCCCTAGACAACGGCACTAACCGGTACAGGCCGGAACGGAACCGGACCGGTAATGGACCGGAACGGAACGGTACCGAAACCGGCACCTCCTGGTTCCGTTGCCAGACTTACTGAGTTATTACTTCTTATTTTTCACCCTCACTTATGACTCACTACAGTCATTCGACCACTCTTCTTTTTCAACGAAATGGAATTTTCTTCCGTTTCTTATTCCAGTCATTAAAGGGCTGCTTCTTCTCTTCCTTCTTTTTCTTCATTATACACTATTTATTTTTGTTGTTTTTTTTATCACCTGTAAAATTACGTAGAATTAGACAAATATCCACCAAGTCAAAATTTTACGTAACTTTATTGGTGACAAAAAAATTCAACAAAAATTTCTTATCCAAAATAATTCTATTACTATTTATACGAAAAATGATAATTCGACCTTATTTGTTGCAGGCGAAGTGTAGGAATTATTTTGGACATTAAAAAATTATTTACTTATTAATGTTTTGTTTTGTTAATTATGGATTGGTTGATGTCATTTGAATTCACATTCATCATAAAGTGTTTTGTCCTCTTTTGTCAAAGTTATTTCTTTTTCAAAATCAAAAAGATTATTTATTAAAGTTTAAACCACAATACATGGGTGCAGAAAATCCTTTTTATTTACAATCAAATTCATTGTATTTTCATGTTGCTCATAATCCTAAATTATGGTAATTTTCTTGCATAAAAAATTTAGGATTAGTTAATGATCTTAAATAAGTGAATAATTACCTCTTAATTTAAAAAAAAACGGAGACAATTTTCTAACTTTTTTTAAAAAACATCGTGATATATAATATCATTTTATTGTTAAAAATATAAATATCAAATCAATTCGAGTGAATAATATATCAAAAGACTTGAAATATCAAAAGAAGTTCATATCTAAAATTTGAAATTGCTTAGACGAGATTTAAGTTAATCACAATTGAAAAAAAGAATTCAAACACATCGAGGAAGATGAAATGTTGCAATATATACTATAAATAATGTTTATGAATTTATATACATCATTGATACATAATTATACATCATTTATACATGCTTGACATACTATTTATACCATGTCAATACATTACATAACTATTTATATAATTATAATACGTTACATATATATATTACTCTCTTTATTCAACAAGCCCACTATTAGCTTGGTACATAGATTAAGAAGTAGTAAACAAGGGTAAAATAGACCTAAAATTGTAAATTATTCATTGATTTTATAAACTAGATATATATTGTTGGACATCTCAAAATAGTATAATGGACAATAGACAGAGGGAGTATCTATAAAATCTAGGGAAAATTATATAGAATAACTGAATAACAAACATTTAGCTTATATTAAGTACTATAGCTATAGTTTAAGAAAATTGTAATTTGTGGCTACAATTTCCTTAATTCTTGCTACTCGCCTGATTTGTATAAATCTAGAATTTGTATAATTTGGTTCCTGATTATATAAATCCAGAATTTTGTATATGCTTACCCTACCTATTTGTATACGATTTATGAAAAAATCATAATAAATTACCATGTTTGTATATTGGCAAGCAAAATATACAAATGAAGTTTTGAAAAATGCCTAAATGTATAAATATAAAATTTATATATCTTACTATATTTGTATATTCTCAAGTGAAATATACAAACGGTAAAAATATACAAACCGCAATCTCTATAGCAAATAAAACTATAGTTATAGAGCACAATTATCAAAGTCATAGCTATAGAACCGTACTATGTCTATTATATTTGTTATTTATCTAACATATGACCATTTTATTGAAATTTTGCCCAATAGTTCCATAGCCTAACTTTAACAAGTCATCAGTTTTGTGCTCTTTCCAGAACTCTATATCAGTTATTTCAAGAACTCTCTAGTCATATCCATTATCTAATCCATCATGAATTTCTCCTTCTATGCTTCACTCGAATTCCCTCGATCCATCCCCAAATTCTATATATACCCACAATTGCAATACCCTTTTCACCATTCAAACAAAAAACAAGCACAAAAAAACATTCTCTGTCAAAAAAGATCAAGTCTTTTTGTTTCTTGAATCTGTAGTATGGCTAAATCTGAAGGAAAAGCAATTGGCATTGATCTTGGAACAACTTATAGTTGTGTTGGTGTATGGCAAAACGATCGTGTAGAGATTATTCCAAATGATCAAGGCAACAGAACAACTCCATCTTATGTAGCATTCACAGATACTGAAAGACTTATTGGTGATGCAGCCAAGAATCAAGTTGCTATGAATCCACAAAACACTGTCTTTGATGCTAAACGTCTTATCGGTCGACGTTTCTCTGATCCAACTGTACAGGCTGACATGAAACATTGGCCATTTAAGGTTGTTCCAGGACCTGGTGACAAGCCTATGATTGTTGTTAATTTCAAGAATGAGGAGAAACAGTTTGCACCAGAGGAGATTTCTTCTATGGTTTTGATTAAAATGAAGGAAACTGCTGAGGCTTTTTTGGGACAAACTGTTAAGAATGCTGTGGTTACTGTTCCAGCTTACTTTAATGATTCTCAAAGACAAGCTACTAAAGATGCTGGTGCTATTGCAGGGTTGAATGTAATGAGGATTATTAATGAACCTACTGCAGCTGCAATTGCTTATGGTTTGGATAAAAAGGCTTCAAAGGGTGGTGAAAAGAATGTGTTGATCTTTGATCTTGGTGGTGGAACTTTTGATGTTTCATTGTTGACAATTGAAGAAGGGATTTTTGAAGTTAAGGCAACTGCTGGTGACACACATTTAGGTGGTGAAGATTTTGATAACAGGCTTGTGAGTCATTTTGTGCAAGAATTCAAGAGGAAGCATAAGAAGGATATTACTAGTAATGCAAGGGCTTTGAGGAGGTTGAGGACTGCTTGTGAGAGGGCTAAGAGGACTCTGTCATCAACAAGTCAAACAACAATTGAAGTTGATTCTTTGTATGAAGGAATTGATTTTTATGCTACAATTACAAGAGCTAGATTTGAGGAGCTGAATATGGACTTGTTTAGGAAGTGTATGGAGCCAGTAGAGAAATGTTTGAGGGATGCAAAGATGGATAAAAGTCAAGTTCATGATGTGGTTCTTGTTGGTGGTTCTACTAGGATACCAAAAGTGCAGCAATTGTTACAAGATTTCTTTAATGGTAAGGAGCTTTGTAAGAGTATTAATCCTGATGAGGCTGTGGCATATGGAGCTGCAGTTCAAGCTGCAATTTTGAGTGGTGAAGGTGATCAAAAGGTTCAAGATTTGCTGCTTCTTGATGTCACTCCACTCAGTCTTGGTATTGAGACTGCTGGTGGTGTAATGACAGTCTTGATTCCAAGAAACACTACTATTCCAACCAAGAAAGAGCAAATCTTTTCCACCTACTCTGACAATCAACCAGCTGTGTTAATTCAGGTGTATGAAGGAGAGAGATGTTTAACCAAGGACAACAACCTTCTTGGTAAGTTTGAGCTAAAGGGTATCCCACCTGCCCCGAGAGGCGTGCCACAGATCAATGTCTGTTTCGACATTGATGCTAATGGCATTCTCAATGTGTCGGCGGAGGACAAGACTGCTGGGGTTAAGAACAAGATTACTATTACAAATGACAAAGGAAGGCTAAGTAAAGAAGAGATTGAGAGAATGGTTGAAGAAGCTGAGAGGTACAAGTCTGAGGATGAGGCAATGAAGAGGAAGGTGGAGGTGAAGAACGCGTTAGAGAATTACGCGTATAACATGAGGAATACTGTGAGGGATGAGAAAATATCAGGGAAGTTGGATCCTTCAGAGAAGCAGAAGATTGAGAAAGCTGTTGATGAAACAATTGAATGGTTGGATAGGAATCAATTGGCTGAAGTAGATGAATTTGAAGACAAATTGAAGGAGTTGGAGAAGTTGTGTAATCCAATTATTGGAAAAATGTATCAAGGTGGTGCTGGTGCTGGTGGAGATGTGCCAATGGGAGGAGGGAGTGCTGATTATGGAACTGGAAACAGTGGTGCAGGGCCTAAAATTGAGGAAGTTGATTAACAAATGTGTCACTACATTTAAGTAAATAAAATAAGCACAATGTAAGTTTTTGAGATATCAAGTATTGTGACATGTAATGTAAAAGAAATTGGTTCATATTTTATGTTATGTAATAAAAAAAGAAAACAAATCTATTGAACTATTTGTGAGCTGTCTGCTAAGTGTATTGGTTCCAGGTTTAAGGCCTATATTGAACAACAATCTTTTATGCTGCTCAATGAGTCTTAGCTGGACATGATAAGATTTGTTAAGATGAGTATGAGGGCATAATCATCATATTCCCTTGGATTGGTGAAAATTAATCAACTAATTAATTATTACTTTCTTGAAAGGAAATGAGAGTATCATATTCTCTTGAATGGGTAGATTTTCATGTCTCCCTCTCTAAGCTGATGGCGGCTCAATATAATCAGTGGTCTAAAGTCACTTTTACGAGAGAAAAATAAACATATAAATATATAAATTTGGCTTCATTCTTACTTTAATTAGAGGTTTTGAGTTCAAGTCTTGGAATGAAATTTATTTTGCTGCGAAGAGTTTTAATTTCCTCTTTAATCAGCTTTATGTGTCTTATAATAGAAAATTCTATACAAATATGAAATACCGAACACCGAATAATTCGATATGGGAAATCTCCATTGGATACACAATGACTAGATTGTTTATAGACAAAGCTAAAATGGTGGGGAACTTCTGAAGTATTTGGTTGGCCATATACCCAAAAGTAGTGGATGGGGGACTCGAAAAAGAAAAAAACAACTTAGAAGGTGAGTCAAAAGCAACCATATATGAAATTACTCCCTTTGTCCTAATTTCAAGTGTCTTAATGTGACTTGACACGAAGTTAAAAGAAATAAAAGAAGACTTCTTACATTTTGTGGTTTTAGAATTAAAGATGTGTATAGTTCTTTGTCTTAAACATGTCGTGTAGAATGTTGAAATTAGAAAACATAACTATAAAAAGAGACATTTTTTTTTGAGACATATCAGAAAGGAAAGTAAGAGACTTAAATTGTGACTAAGGAAGTAACATTTAGAAGATGATATATCCTATATAACACCCTCCAATGCTAGCTTATCATCAAGAGTAGGCACAAGTACTTTATTGTATATCCATCACTACTCTTCCACATTTAGCTCCATCAATGAAAATGACAACTATTGGTCTCTTTCCTTGTTTCATCATCCTGTTATGTTTTTTAGCCTTATTAACAAGCATGGCATATGAAGAATCTCATGTGTCAATAGGTGAGAATAACAAGTTTGGAATCAAAACTAAGCATTCCATAGGTGATGTAACAAAGGTGCAGAGAGGAAGGGCACCATATGGTGGTGCAGATTTACTTCGTCGGCCACGACCAAATAAAAATTCAGCAATATCCCTCAAACAACCTTCAATGTTTACATCAACAACCAATGCCATTTTCATATTGTGTTCTTTTCTTCTTGTATTACTGCTGTTGTGATTTGTGACTCTCTAAGGTTAATGGTTTCATGTTCTGTTGTAGTAGTGTTTTGTAAGTGAAAAGATGTATGTGGTAACATACATTTTAAGAATGGTGATGCATATTTGTCTATCTTCATTTTCACCTAAAATTTCTAATATTACCTATTGTGACAATGACTTAGTGAAGATGTTTGCTTGCTAAAGTTGAGTAGGTTTATAACAAATAACTAGATCAATCGGATATTGTCACACAGGACGATCACAAGTTGATGAATAGTCACACCTAATTCATTTAGAAGATATCGAGTTCATAATATCTCGGTGATCATGTAAGCAACATCATAAATATTGGATTTTAAGATTGTTGGTTCGTTCTCAGAACACCAAGAAACCAGTACTGAACTGAGAATTATCAGGACATCCAGCCCGATCAGCAATTAAGATCCCTATAACCTCCACAGTAATGTTTCGCTATCGCAGCTTAAATTTCTCTTCTTGCAATGACTCTATAAGAATGAGAGTTTAAAAATGAGATCCTAATAGTAATGGATCTTATGCTACGCAAATATGCATTAGATGAGTGTCCGTATGGGCAAACATTAGGAAAAAAAAGAAAAAGATCTCTTTAACTTTTGAATTTATCTGTTCATTCTCACCCAAGAGATGAATAGATATGCCGTCTCCCTCCTCCAACAGTCGAAAGTATTTATCAAGTGTCATTTCAGCTTTTTGAAGAGACAGCAGACAATATTCCTTCACTTTCTCCAGAAACTAGTAAAACAACCAATAGAGACTTGTCGGATAAGATATTCTGGAGTTAACAACCTTAATATATTCTATTAGGATTTAAAAGAGGATTCCAATTGTTTTTACTAATGTTTTGCTAAGTTGGATTTTGCAATGAAATATTTAGCAAAATCAAATAAACAGTGGCTAAGTTGTTTATAATAGTTAGGCCAGAATGTCAATGTGAAAGTTGAGATGAACAATATCTTCTTGTGCTATTAGGCATAAAAGAAAAGAAATCAAGTTGAGCTAAAGCAACTATAGCATCACTTAGAAGAAAATCATATTCTCTTCTTCTTTTTCTCCCTTTATATCAACGGTTTTTAGGTTAGCTTACGTGTACCTCAAATATTCCATTGAGTATCTATTACCTTCCAACACAAGCTAGTATCAAGTTATTTTATTTACCAAGGTATATTTATCTGTATTGGAATTTGAGTCATGGTTCTCTATAATTTTTACTCGTTTCATTAACCTCTAGATCACATCCTTAGTTGTGTTTTATAAACACCATCCCCTTTGATGCTAAGCTTAAAAACTTACTCATAAAACCCCCTCACCACTTAGAAAGGAAAAGACCACACAGACCAGCAAAGGCCTTTAGCTCATCCAATGAAAATAACTATTGGCTTCCTTCCTTGTTTCATAATCTTGTTATGTGTTCTAGTCTTAACAAGTTTGGCATATGAAAATTCTCATGAATCAAGAAACAGAGGCTTTCACATCTTAAAACATGTAGCTATAGTACTGCAAGAAAGAGAGAATGAGGGTGCAAGTGCAAGAAGAGGAGGTAAATTCCATTTAGATACACATAGCAACGAGTTTGAGTTAAAAACTAAGCATTTGATAGCTCATGTAGGGAAGGGACAGAAAGGAAGGGGATCAAATGGAGGTTCGAACAATCTTCATCATGCGCGTCCTTATAAAAGTTCAGCGTTATCCCTGAAGCAGCCCTTCATCTTCACATCAACTGCTAATGCCATTTTCAGACTCTCTTTTCTTCTTGTATTGCTATTTGTCTTTCCATGAAAAGTTCCACTATGTTTGTAAATTTGTATGTCTGTAAGTGAGCAGTCTTGTGCTATAACATGCTTTCTAAGATTGTTGATGCATTATTTGTCTTTCTTCCTCACTCCCCCTCCCCGGGCGTGGAGCTAGTAAGGGCCAGGGGTTCATCCAACCTCCCTTCGGTAGTAAATTACACTGTTTATACATGATTAATTTTTTTTTTTTTTATGTATATTTATTTAGGGCCCGTTTGGCCATAGATTTCCCAAGTAAAATTTGGGGAAAAATTTGGTAAATAGTGTTTGTCCATACAATTTCTAATTATTTGGCAAATAACTCAAATTCTCAAATACTAGAAAAAACTAGTATTTGGGCAATCTCATTAGTTGGGAACTTTATAATTCAAATTGTACACCAACTTTTATCTATTACAAGAACACTCTCTATAATAGTTGTTTGCATTGTTTTATATAATTTTTTACATGAACAACAAAATAATGATGAAATATTCAGTGAATATGAAAGTAATAATATAGTTATTGATGAAAATGATGAACAATCGGCTTAAGGTAACAAAGTCACGTGCTATATAATACAAATCTATGGTTAGTTTTGATAGTTTTTAAAACTTATGGGTATAAAATCATATTTCTTAAAAAGGTGAAATATATTTCCCAAATACTATGGTCAAACACATGGTGAAATTTCCCCCAAATTTTCACTCAAATAATATCTGCCAAAAATATTTGGAAATCTATGGCCAAACGTAAAAGTTGAACCTCCTTCAACTTTTTCATGTGTTTACTTCTTCATATTTTAAACCACCTTAATGAAAATTCTTGACTCTGCCACTGCCCATTTCCCTCAAGCTAAAATCCTTGGAAAATTTAGCTTTAACTAATAGCTGAGTTGGAAAATTAGTAAGTAGCTAAACAGTCATCACATGATGCCTTAGAATAAGCAATGCCACATCCCACAGGTCCCATAAATAGGTAGCCTAACCCAACTAGTGATCCCAAGAACAGTAGTTGTGTAATCATCTGACTGAAAGTGAGGTGCCACAGCCCACTGGTCCCATATATCCTTTCATGCTTTCATACATTGTTCCCTTTAATTTATAGAACCTCAGCACAAACACTGTGACTTTAATATACATGTTGACGAAAATTACCCTTAAGGTGATCGGCATCCATCCATCATAGGCAATCTGATTCAACTACGACGACGGACTCAATCCTAACAAAAAATATTTTTGTGTTTTTGTACGGTTCAAAGGGACTATCCTTGGTCAAAGAACCGAAAACAAACTCCAAGGTACCCAAAAGAAAAGAAACAAAACAAACTACTATGTACATAGGTGCCTAACTTACACACCATCCCACACTTAAAACATAGCATTGTCCCCAGTGCTGTAAAACATATATTCTTGGCACTGCAAGCATTACTAATACACTCCTATTGAGCATTATTTTTATACACTCTACCAAATGACCCCTTAAAGACTTAATTAATGGTCATATATGATTTATAATATGTCAACTACAAATGTTATATAACATAAATAATATTAAATAATCAAAAAGTGAAACATAGAGGATGAATATTAGTTATCCAAATTTAGAGAAGTACTATTCACCTCTCTCTAAATAGAGAATAAATGATTTTTTTTTGAAGTGTGGTTCAATACTCTATTCTCTATTTTACTCTCTAAATATAACGTATAGAGAGTAAAATAGAGATAGGTTAGAGATGGTCCTATAACAGGCATGCAACTAATAAACGAGAAAAATAACAATAATGCAACAATTGAGATTCAAATTTCAAAGATCTTAGATTTTTACTCAAACTATAAGTTATTTTCTCATAAAGTTACTCAACTATGAGTTATTTTAACATAAAGTCATTCAAATTTGATTTTCAACTCAAAAGTCACTCAACCTATTTTGATTAATTTTTTTAATACAATTTGTTGACATGAAATTTTTATTTAAAACTATAACTTTTAAAATTTAAAAACTATCATTTAAATTGTTTAATGACCCAACCTGCTAAAAATATAATAATGACATTCTTTTATATATATAGAGAGAGAGATATTTCATATTTTTTTTCCAAAGTTAACGGGTCCGATGACCCCTTTCCTTTAATTCCACGTGGGTCTGCATCCGCATATATATATATATATATATATATATTACAGAAAACAGAGAAACAAATGCATCATGGCACTACTACACATGTGCTTTAGGTTCCCGTTTAGTCGTGATTGAAAGTTGAAATGTTAAGAATGAACCCCAGCCCAACAAGGATACCAACAAGAATACCACACAAATATATAATGGGCCAAGTAGCCCAATAAAACTAGTATAAATTATTGGAACCACATATTATAAGAACTAAATAACATCTTGTCCCTTCTAGTTTTCTATTTACCAAAAATCCCTTAAAAATGATGTTTGCGGGATACATAACGTTGTGCACGGGATACTTTAGGTTTGATACATTCCACATAGTGGGATACATAGCGTTGTGCACGGGATACATGCGGGATACATAGCGTTTGATACATTTCACATAGCGGGATACATAGCGTTGTGCACGGGATATATGCGGGATACATAGGTAAATAAGGGATTTTTGAAAATTTTGAAATAAGTAGGGATAAATGGACATTAAGGTAAGTAAAGGAGTGTAGTTAAGTAATTTGTCCATAAAACTAATAAGGCCAGGCCTTCACAAAAGATAATTTGGGATCCGGGTATAGTTTGTTGTCGTTAAATAGAACAGGGTATCACTATCAAGGGGATCGTGAATTATGTGCAAAGGTATTTTTGTATTTCTCATCCCTAATTCTAGAGTCTAAGTTTCTCATCTCCATTCTTATCTATATCCTTAGTTATTTGATATTTCAATATTTCCATTGTAGTTTTTTTTTTAATTTCCATTGTAATTCAATGATAAGTAGGGAAAATAATGGAAAATGAAAAAAATGCCAACATATTTATGGAAAACAATTATAGTTTTAAAAAATTATATAAAACCTGGTTTAATGTTATTTTTATAGCAAACTCTCTCCCTGTCTCCCTCTCTCTCGCCCTCTCAATCCTTTTCCCTCCTGCCAATAAGAAGAAATCTATTCAAATGTATTATGTATCAATTGTATTGAATCGAATATATGTGAGAGTTTTATATTTATATCAATTGTATTAAAAAATTGTATTGGTATTTTTTGTATCAATTGTATTTGTTTTCATACGAATACAATATTCACTCATCATCTTTGTCAAATGTATTATGTATCAATTGTATCCAATCAAAGAGAGGATAAATACAATTGTATTCGTTGTATTTCGAATACAATTAATACACAATACAAAAATGTTATGCATTAAAAAAATACAGAAGACAATGCAAAATAAATACAAATACAACCTTATCTTCTTCATCTCTCAATCTCGCTTGCCTCTCTCCTCCCTATCTTGATCTCGCTCACCTCTCTCCTCCTAATATGTATTCATTTTGATGCAAAACAGTCTGTATTTATATTTTCTCCAAAGTTTGCTAAAAATACAAAAATACAAATGCGTAGCAAACCAAAATATAGTTACAAATTGTAATTAGTGAAACTATAGCTATGTAGTCCTATTTAAGGCCTGATATTTGTTGTTTTTTTGAAAGTTCCCATTTAAGTATTGCAATTAGGATCTAAAAATGATAATAGTGCTCCCATTATCTTATTACTAATATAGTAAGGAATTCAGTTTGTTACACACAAGCAAACTTTTACATATCAAAACTATTCCCAAGTATATCAAATACATACCACTTTAGTTTAGACCACTTTTTTCAAGCATATCACACATCAATGGTGTTATGACTTATTGTACTTAGAGTAGCAATATATGACAATAATAATAACACAATGCAGAATACTTGCCACTTCTCTACTTTCAAAGCTTGTTTTTGTACCAGTAAACACCTTTATTGAGGGATCCTTCATCTTTCTCCACATAGATGCACTCCTTTGTATCCCTCCATAATGCCTTAAAAATTGGGGTATCATCGAGTTGGTAGTATTCTCCCAGCAATGGCTTGATAGCTTTGGTTGCCTCCATTGCATGATAATGTGATATGTTTGGGAATATATGATGCAAAACATGAGTATCAGTAACATTGTGGAAAACCTTATTTAGCACACCATAATCTCTATCAACCGTAGCTAGAGCTCCTTTTAGGTAATGCCACTCAGATGAATCATGATGTGGCAATGAAGAGTGAGTGTGGTGCAACAGAGTGATTAACACTATAAACCCATTCACAATAAGGAGAGGCACCCAATAGATGCATACAAGCCAAGCTAGCCCTTTTGTCAAAGCAACATGATAAGACACATAAATAGTTCCAATCACACTTACATCTGAAATGTAGATTTGTAGTCTCTCACGATCACTATATATTGGGCTATATGGATCATAGTGACATGCAAAACGATAATAGTTTCTGCCAGAGACATTAAAGAGCAAGTACAAAGGCCAGCCAAAAGTGAGGGTGAAGGCAAGTACGAGTACTCGTCCTAGTGGATTATTCAAGTATTTGTAGTACCATCTTAGTTTGGATTTAAGCCTTGGTATGTAGACTTCGTCGTTCTCAAGGGAACCAGTGTTGGAATGGTGACGACGATGACTATGTTTCCATGAGAAGTATGGGGTTAAAAGTGCAGAGTGGAGGATAAGGCCAACAGTGTCATCTACCCATTGGTATTCACTGAAGCCTTGGTGGCCACATTCATGGCCAATGACCCATATTCCAGTGCAAACACAACCTTGAACGATCCAGTAAGCAGGCCATGCTAGGTAACTATAGGGGGGTGGAAGGAGGTGGAAGTAAGTGGTGGCAATATAGTAAAAAAAGGAGATAAGTATGAGATCTTGAACAAGATAGGAGAATGAGCGAATGAGAGATCGTTGAAAACAGTGAGGAGGGATGGCCTTCTTAATGTCACCAACTGTAAAAGGGGGCTTTGAACATGGCACTCTTTGGAGAGGATTTTTCTTTTGCTCAATTATAGTTGTTGGACCAGACATGTTGCCACCAGCTCCAACTTTTGTTCTCCTGCCACGTCAATCTTGAAACTGCACAAATTAAGTTTGCTTCAAATCCTGGCTTCTATATTGTAGTTATGATAAACTATAGTCATTTAAGTAAATATGAAATTGTTAATAGATAACAAATCATGAGCCACTGGAATAATGCCTAAATTTTTCTTTAGGAAAAAAGACACAAATGCTTAAAGCAGCCATATGATATGATGCGGTTAAAGTAGAATCTTCGTCAATGATCTCTGGACATAGAGTTGTTATCTCCTGTATTCAGATTAGCAAACCAGAAATAATTTCCTATTCACACCTTTAAAACCCAACAGAGTTACCAAAGCAACACTGTCAAACATTTGGCAAGAGTGTGATAAGACCATAGACAATTATAAAATGTAATAATAAAACATACAATAGTACAATATAATTTCTTCTAGATCTTGTTGTTATACCAATAAACACCTTTGTTGAGAGATTCTTCTTCTTTTTCCACATAGATGCACTCCTTTAAATCCCTCCACATTGCCTGATAAATTGGGGTACCATCAAATTGATAATATTCTCCTAGTAATGGCTTGACAACTTTGGTTGCCTCCATTGCATGGTAATGTGGCATGGTTGAGAATAGGTGATGCACAACATGCGTATCTGTAATATTGTGGAAGACCTTAGTTAGAACACCATAGTCTCTGTCTACGGTAGCTAATGCTCCTCTTAGCCAATCCCACTCGGATTTATCATAATGTGGCAATGAGGGATGTGTATGGTGCAGAAAGGTGATTAACACTATGAAGCCATTCACAATTAGGAGGGGTACCCCATAGATGCATACAATCCAAGCTAGTCCTTGTGCTAAAGCAACGCGATACAACACGTAAGCAGTTGCAATCACACCTGCATCCGATATGTAAATTTGTAGCCTCTCATGGTCATTATAAATCGGGCTATATGGATCATAATGACTTGCAAAGCGATCATAAGGTCTGCCAGCGATATTAATGGCAAAGTACAAAGGCAAGCCAGCAATAAGGGTGAAGGCAAGTATGAATAATCGTCCCAGTGAATTGTTTGTGTATAATTTGGTGTACCACCTTAATTGGGATTTAAGCTTGGGCACATGGTTTTCATCATACTCAAGTGAATTAGTATTGGAATGGTGACGCCGATGACTATATTTCCATGAGAAGTATGGTGTTAAAAGTGCAGAGTGGAGAATAAAACCAACAGTGTCATTTATCCATGGGTAATCACTAAACGCGTGGTGGCCACATTCATGGGCAATGACCCATATTCCAGTGCAAACACAACCTTGAACGATCCAGTAAATAGGCCATGCTAGGTAATAATAATAATACGGGGATGGAAGGACGTGGAAGTAAGTAATGGCAATATAATAGAAGATGCAGACAAATATAAGATCACGAGCTAGATAAGATAATGAGCGAAGAAGAGATCGCTGAAAGCAGTGAGGAGGGATGGCCTTCTTAATATCACCAATCGTAAAAGGGGGCTTTGAACATTTCACTCTTTGGAGATGATTTTTCTTTTGTTCAGTTTTTGTTGTTGTATTAGACATATTGTCACCGCCTCCCATTTTCCTTCTTGAGTATATCCTCAACCTGCAACAGTTTATGTTTACCATTCAGAATTTTCTGTTCTATTTTTCAGAGCATTAGAGTCTTAAGTTTTAGTCCATTCTTTCAACAATTGGGATTTATTAACAAAAACAGAAACATTTCCATAATTAACACACAAAATAAAACGCCAACATTAGTAAATAACACAAGAACGAGCCTATCCAAAAAGAAATAATACCTCAAAATTCAGTAGACTGACTCTGCCTGCACGTTTCAGCTCCCACTTCCTCTGTTATTTATAGACTAGTAAAAGAGAGCTCGGGTTCAGGCTCAGGCTCAGGCTAAGGTGCAACATAGATAAACAATACTCCCTTCATTCCATTTTATGTGAGGTAGTTTGACTCGGTATGAAGTTTAAGAAAGATAGGCAGACTTTTAAAACTTGTGGTCCAAAATGAATGAATTTGTGTGACTGTAAATTGTTAAATTAATATTTTATAGTTAAATTATTACTTAATATAGAAATGTGTCATTCTTTTTTAGATTGACTAAAAAACAAGTCACATAAATTGTGACAGAAGAAGTAATTTCCAAGGTACTATATTCCTGAAAAATATAGTTGATCATGTAATTATTAACAAAAACAGAAACATTTCCATAATTAACACACAAAATAAAACGCCAACATTAGTAAATAACACAAGAATGAGGCTATATATCCAAAAAGAAATAATACCTCAAAATTCAGTAGACTGACTCTGTCTGCACGTTTCAGTAGACTGACTCAAAATTCAGTAGAGAGCTCTGTTCAGGCGCAACATAGATAAACAATACTCCATTCGTTCCATTTTATGTGAGGTAGTTTGACTCGGTACAAAATTTAAGAAAGAAAGGAAAACTTTTAAAACTTGTGGTCCAAAATGAATAATATAAATTTGTGTGACTGTAAATTGTTAAATTAATATTTTATAGTTAAATTATTACTTAATATAGAAATGTGTCATTCTTTTTTAGATTGACTAAAAAACAAGTCATATAAATTGTGACAGAAGAAGTAATTTCCAAGGTACTATATTCCTGAAAAATATAGTTGATCATGTAATTATTTTAATTTCTTCGTCACATAATTAAGCAATTTTCGAAACACTTTAAATAAAATACTCATGTTCACTTATACATTTTAACCCTGAAATAGGGAATTGTGTTTATAAGAAATGTAATTACGATTGTTTCTTTAATTGTTTTTTGTATGATATATTTTCTTGGGTTAAAATTATTAAAATACACCCCTATTTCAGACAAAATTCACCAATAATTTTTTTGAAAAAATGATCTATTTTATTATAATTCCGATGGATTCGTCCGAAAATATGTATTTTTTATTTTATATAATCCTACTTTAAATGAATTTATTGACAGATCCGTGGGAAAATAATTACTTGTTATTTGCCGCCAAGATTTCAATAATTGTTCTGTCAGAAATGTTAGTGCAACGTGAGTTGAACCACGAAGAATTATTTCATGTATTGGCCGGTATGGCTAGATAGTATTCCAGTTGTCCCAATTTATGTGGCATATTTCGTTTTTCGAGAGCCAATAATTTAAATTTGACCCAGAATTCGTTCATGAAATCTTCAATTTTAAAAAAATGAAATTTATATATTTATAAATAACGTAAAAAGTAGTATAAATCACAATAATTAATAAATTCAAAATATTTAAAAGATATATGAAAAAATTATAGTCAAAGAGAAAGTTATTTAAATCTCGAAATTCGAAATGTGTCACATAAATTGAAACAAAAAGAGTACTAATTAGTAATGTATATAAACCTTGTTAAAGATCTAATGAATAATGTTTGTCTTATAGATAATTGTTGGAAAATATATACTAACAACATATATTATAGTATATACTATAACAAGGAGCTTGTTATAACTTATAAGAAGAGCAATGAGATGAAAGCTTGATAATTTGAACGAGGAACATAGAATTGAATGCTTGAAACGCTTTCCTAAAAATTAATATTTGCTTCCTCTTTTCTGCGAGATTGTTATGAGATTGTACGCAAATAATTTTAGTGAATATTACAAGCTTATGAATTTCTGCACTAAGCAAATAATGAAGAAATCCTATTGAAAAACAAAAATTTGAACTTGATCTTTATCTTTTTGGAGAAGTAAACAATTCTTTGGAGAATGCTGTAAAGAAAAATACTCTGTAAAAGTTATATAATAATCTGCAGAAATTGGACTTGGCCTCATTTGTTTTCATTAAGATTAATACCTCTGAATCTGAATATTAAGATTTGCATTAAGAGCTAGGTGTCTAGATTTGAATATACATCTGAACACTGAATGATTATTAGTGATAACCAAAGAATGGAAGGACATACCCTTTCTTTTAAAATACTTATTATTAATTTAATTTAAACAAACTTCTAATAATAACCCTCTCCTCTTGCCTCTAACACTAAGAGGACTAATATATATATATATATATATATATATATATATATATATAAAGGAGGAACATAGACAAGGTGATGTGGCACCTCTCTATGACCTCCATTCATATTTATTTATTTTTCTCCTTTTTTGACTATTTTTCTTCATTTAATTATTTTTTTGTTTTAATATCTTATAAACTCTTTATATTCAAGTACTCAACTTTTCACCTCCCACTATAATATATCTTATTTATTAGATATAATGTGCATATATTCATAACTCTCATAATTTTCAACTTTTCATATTCATAACCTTTAAATATTAAATATGAAACCTTATGGTATTCCTCCATTATTTTCTATATAAATTCATATTTTTTTGTTTCATGATATTCTATCCAAAGTTACCCTTCATTTTTACCATAGTATTATATTCATGATTTTATTTGGCTTGAAAAAGAAGAAGGCTCTTGAATAGTGATAGGCTTGTGAAGTGGATATTGACAAAAGCTTAGATAATTATGTATTGATTTCTTTTCCCTTCTATTTTTTAATGATATGTGTATTGTACTATTTCTTTTTTTTTTCTCTCTTTTTATTCTTATATATCTCTATGATGTCTCTTAAATTTAATTTTTATATGAAGAAAGCTTTTGAATAGTGATAGATTTGTGAAGTGAATATCAACAAGAGTGATGCCTCTCTACCTTTGTTTGACTTGAAAAAGAAGAAGAAAGCTTTGAATATTGATAGGTTTGTGAAGTGGATATGACAAGATCTTAGACAATTATGTGTTAATTTTGTTTTTCCTTCTACTTTTAATTTTAATGACTAAAGTCACTATGATATGTGTATTGTATTATCTTTTCTTTCTTTCATTCTTTCTTTCTTGTGTAATTTATGATGCCTCTTAAGTATATTTTGTATACGAACTTAAAATTTAATTCGAAGCACGAGTAATTGAGTTTTAAAAGTATGAGAGTTATTTGTTGTATAATTTCTATTTATATAATTTAGTCTCTTATTTTTCCTCATAAAAATGTCAATAAAAAAGTAATAAAATAAAAGATATAATAATATTATAACCAAACAACACGAAATAACCTTTTAATATATATATATATATATATATATATATATATATATAAATTAAATTACACTTATTAATATAAATATATGGACACCGTTTAAATAAGAACAAAAGGCTGAAAGGCTTATGCTACTCTTATTTTCTTGGAAATAAATATTAACTTTTGTTCTTCAATTGACAAATTTTCTAACATTTTGTTGTAATAAATCTATAAATAGGTATATGATTCTTTTACTCATATTTAATTTTCTATACAATTTTATATTGAAATACTGGTATTATAATATTTTTATTATATATAATTATGAAATTACAACTTTTACTATAACATATTTATGAGTCTCAAGTATGAGGAGGAGATTAGTTTTTATTTTTTGAGTAATAAACATCAATACTTAGCATATAAATCAATAACAAATTTGTTTCATTTCTTCAATTGTTAAAAGTAATTATTAGCAAACTTCATTCAATGGAGTTGAATCACTACTACTTTGTAGTTTGTATACAATTCTTTTACTTTCTTTGATTTTATATGTATTTTTTTACTTCTACAACATATATGGAGAAAAAAGAACAAAACAATAGTAGATGCATTAGTGAAGAATAAACGATAGGAAAATAGTATATGACCAGAAAAAAAAATGTAACTCAATGGTTGTTTTAGTTTCTTTTTAATTTTCATTTCATTATTTATTTTATTTAATAAAAATCATAGAAAATATTTTTTAACTTTTATTTAGATTAAAAGAAATTAAAAGGGTCAATTGTATATAAATATTATAACTTATTGCTTAAGAATAAATTTTCTCTTTTGCTCAATATTAATTGTTAAGTTTAACAAAAATAATCGTGTTGATATTTATCTTGATAATATAATATAATTAGAACAATTAATGATGTAATATCTGGAGAAAAAAGAAGACATGACATTCAAAAATAAAAAAATGGGATAATTCAAAAATTAATGACATTCAAAAATTAATCTTTCAATAAAAAAATGGGATAATTCCTTTGAGTTTCGCTCTATAACACTCACATTTTCTGTAATTTATGATGTTACGCCTACATCTCTTATTTTAATTTTTTTTAACCATTCTTCAAAATTATTTAAAATAAATATAAATCAATTATAACTTGACAAATTTGTCCTTCTTTGTATTAATTTCTTCATATTAATGCATATTATTAAAAATATGACTTATTTAATAGATACTTTAAAAATAAATCAACACAAATATGTTTATACTATCATATATATTATATAAATATATATAAACGTGTCCTTTTTTACCAAACAAAGATTCACACTTCTTCATATTGATTTATTTTAAAACTTTGATTATATAAGTCTTTTTCAAAATAATGTGGATTAATATGAAGAAATTAATACAAAAGAACAAAGTTGTCAAATTATAATTAATTTATATTTATTTTAAATAAACTTAAAGAATGGTTACAAAAAAAATCAAAATAAGGAA